ATAAAACCTCTAAACATGTTGGTATATATCATTACCAACATGTACCAACCAAACTTATTGGTAGCCAAATAAGTTGGTACCAACTATACTTGGTATGGTAGTGATATAATTTTTTTTGTACCAACTATAATTGGTACAATACACGATTTAGGCAAAAATGGTCGGTATCATACCAATTCGACCCCTAAGACCATCCGGTGTGGGCAACGCCCACCGGCGTTTTTTTAAGGTGGCAACGCCTAACGACATTACAACGTGCAAAACACCGTCCCGACTAGACGTTTTCTAGCGTTACATTGCAACGCGTTTTCTTGGCAACGGGTGAATTGGTCTTGCATTTTTGGGGTAACGGTTAAAAAAAGACCGTTGATGAACGATCAATAGTAAAAAAAAAGTCCAATTTTACTCACATATAAATACACACATGCACTTCATTTTTTACCTACACAAATCATCTATTTCTCTCGTCTTATTACACAAAAATCAACCACTTTCTCATTCAACCAAATATAGAGCAAAACCCAAACACCCCTCCTCCAAACACAAACACAAACACATCTGCTCCACTCGGTTTCGTTCCATATTATAGCTATGTGAACTTCCTCAACTCTCAAAACTCACCACAAATACCATTTTCAGGAAACTTTTTCAATCCCGCCTCACACCCCTAATACCATTCCCTACACCGGCCTACATGCAACAAAACTCAAACCTTCAACAAAACCTTTACAACACTTTTGTTTCCATGCCACAAACAACCACACAACCACCACCCACACAAGAAACGCAAAATACGGTTGCCGAGACGTAAGCAGGAGGTAGTCGGAAACCTAGAGGGAGAGGAAAAAAGAAAGGGAAAGCGGTCGTGGTAGCGGAAAACGACGAAGAACCTCCAATATGGTGGATACCGAAGGAGGAACATGCGTTGGTGGTGGCATGGTGCGGAACATCAAAACATCCAACTATGTGAAACGATATGAGGAGATGTGGATTTTGGGAAGCTGCAGTCGTAAAATTTCGTACAATTTTGAACAAATGGGAGACATACCGCAATCATGATATGCTTAGTAGCAAGTGGAATACAATTAATAAGAAGTGCGCTAAGTTTAATTCGATCTACAATAAACTTTCTTCGCACAAGCAAAGTGGTGCGAACGACTTTGATGTATTTAGAGCCGCAAGGAAGCAATATCACGTCGAAACGTGTCACGTTTTTTAGTACGACAAAATTTGGGAGATTTTGAGAAATGACCCAAAAATGGCTTAAGACGCCAACATCATCGGAGGTACAATCAAAGAGGTCTCGTGGTTCGGGTTCGGTTGACGATTCTGACGCACGAACGAACATCGACCTTAACACCGACACCGATGAGCTCCCGAACGACATCAAAGAGATCTCCCCGCCACGACGAACGATAGGGCGCGACAAAGCGAAGTGCGCTCAACGATATGCGGAGGAAAGTTAAAGTAGGCTTCGAGAGTACGCGGAAATGAAAGAGTAATTCGACACCCACAACACAATCGTAAATAAAAAATATGAATTGCAACGTGAGTATTTGGAGTTCCTTCGTCAGCAAGCGGAGGAATATCGAATGACGAATGATTTGGCAATGCTTCGGACAAGCGAGGAAAATATGGCACCGAGACAAGTGCAAGTGCTCCAAAAAATGAAGGAAAATATCGAGAAAAAATATTTGGGTGATGACTAGTGTATCGTTTTTATGTTTTTTAAATTTAGGACTATCATATTTTTTCCGTTCAAAGTTTTTTTTTTGTATTGTCGTTTTTAGTTTTTAAATGTTATTTTTAACTTAGGATTTAATTAAATTACATGTATTGTTAATTTATATGTTTTTTATAAATAATATGACATAAAAAAACAAATTGGAAAAATAAAAATAAAAAAATAAAAAGGAAATAAAAAATAAGGAGTGTTATAACATGTTATTTAGTGTTGTCTATCTTCACACTTGGATTCATAACATCATATATTATTAAAACGATGAGGTGACAACTTTTAGATGTAATATCATCCAACGACTTAATCTAAAGACAAAATTGCAAGATTGGTCCCTATGGTATTCAAAAAACTTTGGATAGGATCCAAAAAGTTTTCAACTTGCACTGAAGGTCCAAAATCAAGGTTTTTCTGGGTTTTTGGTCCTTGATACACTTGAAAAGTCTATTTTACCCTTTTCATTTCTTTTTCTATTTTCTTTATTTATTTTGGACAAAACTGCAAGATTGGTCCCTGTGGTATTCAAAAAACTTTGGATAGGGTCCAAAAAGTTTCCAAATTGCATGGAAGGTCCAAAATCAAAGTTTTTCTGAGTTTTTGGTCCCTTATACACTTGAAAAGTCGATTTTGCCCTTTTCATTTCTTTTTTCTATTTTCTTTATTTATTTTGACATTTAAATAATTAAAAATAAATAATAAAAAATAAAATATCTCTCTCTCTCTCTCTCTCTCAATACTTTAGCTTTGCAAATCTGCATCTCAAACGAAATAAAAAATCCTTTCTGTGTTCAAAAAATTTACTCATCGCAACACCAAATTCTTTTGACCAAGTGTCGATAATCATCAGTCCATATGAAGTTGCAATCAATAACTTGACGATATTACGGAATCAATAATCATTGAAGCAACAACCATAGAAACCCAGATATTTTGTTCATAGCCCTATCGACGAACCCAAAAAAATATCAAAATAATCTTCCACTTAAGATAATCCAAAATCGTTTCAACACAGGGAATCATTAACATATTTAAGACCATTTATCGATATCCAATTGAATGAAATAAGCACAAAAATCGATAAAATCTTAAACTAAGATGAAGAACAGGAGGATAGAGGATGAACCCTAATGCCACCAACAATATAAATCATCCAAGAAATAGCCATAGAAAGAGATTAGTCGAATTGTTTTAGTAAGACAATGAGCTTAACAGATGATCCAAGAGCCTTTGAAATCCGATGAACGATAATAAGCAAATATGGTAGCAGGAGCAGAAATCGATGATGAAACCTTCATCCATGTTCAAAAACCATTACAAAACTGCAACTAAATCAAGACCAAGACCCATAAATTCCATGAAATCAAACCCAATGAACTTAAATCACCACATCCAACCCTTGACCTTCAACATCGAATCAAAAAATCAAAGCTCTCCATCCAGAAATCGAACCATTGGACGTCTACGGTTGCATCGTGGGTAAGGGGGTGAGGCTGTGAACTTCTCAAATTCAGTAGTATCCATGGATTCGCTCCAGAAACTCATTGGAAAGTACATCGTTAAGAGACTAGACAATGAACTTCTCAGGCGAGGGAGAGAGAAAAGGGGCGAGTGAAGAGTAGGTGATGGCGAGGGTGAGAAAGAAGAAAGAAAGAAAGAGTTCAGGAAGATCATGTAAGGAAGAAGTCAAGAAGATGGAGGCATGTGGGATGTAGCCGATGGACAATGAGAGAAAAGGCCGAGAGGGTTAGGAAAAGACAGTAACGGGTTTTTTTTTACTTTCTTGAGAGAGAGAGAGAGAGGGGGGGGGAGGGTTTGGGTGAGATTTTATTTTTTATTTTTTATTCTTAATTATTTAAATACCAAAATAAATAAAGAAAATATAAAAAAGAAATGAAAAGGGCAAAATCTACTTTTCAAGTGTATCATGGACTAAAAACCCAGAAAAACCTTGATTTTGGACCTTCCATGCAAGTTGGAAACTTTTTGGACCCTATCCAAAGTTTTTTGAATATCAAAGGGACCAATCTTGCAGTTTTGTCTTTATTTTGGTATTTAAATAATTAAAAATAAAAAAATAAAATCACTCACTCTCTCTCTCTCTCACACACACACACAAATATTAATATGAATCTCAAGAACACTCGTTTTTTCCTGAGTTCAAGAACAAGAACAAGAACAAGAACATCACATTCACGAACCCATAAATCATTTTTTTCGGATCTGATGAACTGCCCTTCACCACCACTTGAATCGATTTCTGCTATGAAACCAAACCTAAACTTGATCTGAATCGATTTCTTATCTGAAACTGCTGCCTAAACTTGATCTCAAACACCAGATGAAGATTAGGTACCGATTTGTGTGTGCGTGTGGGTTTTTAAATTATTCCCAAGATGATCAGACAACCATCGAGATGATCAGAGGGGGTAAGGGAAAGGAGAAGTAGAGGTGGCGATAGAAAAGGATTCGAGAGCAAAACCAACGCCTTGAATCACCCATTTCTGCCTCTTTTAGCAGTGAATGTGCACCCCTCTGTCAATTTCTTTCCACAACCTAGTTCAACAACTAATGAAGCATCGATAGGCCTTCCGCACATGTCCCTACCATTGATTTTGGGGTGAATCAGATTTTAGAACCTCTGATTGTTTGAAAATGTGAGTTTGCTTTTTAGGGTTCTTAAGAAGAAAGGGGTGAGAGTTTGACTGGAAATATGTAGAGAGAGAGAGAGAGAGAGAGAGAGAGAGAGAGAGAATGAGGAACCAATTTCGCCAATGATTCTCTATTTTCAATCGACAATTTTGCAAATCTAACAATACCTATACATGATAGCGTACCTAACGAAAGCAGTTGTGGTTGCGTATCTTCATTACTTCTCAAATTCTGTAAGGAATCGAAGGCGAGATGGTTGTTGAATGAGGTGTGTGATGCAGGGATGAGGAGATAAGAATCATAACATACATAAAATCGTTTAGAGAGAGAGAGAGAGAGAGAGAGAGAGAGAGAGAGAGAGAGAGAGAGAGAGAGAGAGAGAGAGGTTGGGTGAGATTTTATTTTTTATTTTTAATTATTTAAATACCAAAATAAATAAAGAAAATAGAAAAAAGAAATGAAAAGGGTAAAATCGACTTTTCAAGTGTATCAATAACCAAAAACCCAGAAAAACCTTGATTTTGAACCTTCAGTGCAAGTTGGAAACTTTTTCGATCCTATCCAAAGTTTTTTTAAAACGGTTTCGTCTAATCTAAACTTGGACAATTATACATGGGCGAAGGGTTGGACGACGTCGTGTCGGGTTATTCCTTCATCTCCCTCCAATCTGCATCCCTCAAAAGCGAAAACCCTCTTTCATAATGCTATCTCTTTCCCTTTCCTTGCCCAATCCTCGCTATTGCCTTTCAAACCCCTTCTCTCTATCAACCAACAACCCCCGTCTTCATGTATTCACCAACGACCAATATGCCGGATTTGGAATCACTTTGCCGGAGGAACCGATTGTTACTACGGTGGGACTCCATCGCGAGTTAATGCCGAAGCACGTTGCAGTCATCATGGACGGAAACAGGAGATGGGCTCGGTCGCGAGGATTGATGCCCCAGGCGGGTTACTTGGCCGGTGCCGGAGCATTGAAGGTCGTGGTGGATCTGTGTCGTAAGTGGGGAATCCAAGTTCTTACAGTCTTCGCCTTCTCATCTGACAACTGGTTAAGACCCAAAGTATGTGTAATATTGAAATTGAATTCCAATTTAATCAGAATTTGTGTGGGTTCAGTCGATTGATTGGTTGTGTTTATGGTAGGTTGAAGTCGATTTCTTAATGAGACTGCTTGAAAGCACATTAAAAGATGAAGTTGCTTCTATGTCGAGGTAATTTCCACCGCTTAGAATAAGTTTTCAATCAATTTCAATCCACTTTCAAAATGTAATTCTGATGACAGGGACGAAATCCGAGTTTCTGTCATTGGAGACGTATCTAAGCTTCCACAATCATTACGAGATTTCATTACACATTGTGAGAACACCACGAAGAACAATTCACGACTCAATCTTGTTATAGCGATTAATTACAGTGGCAAGTATGATATCGTCCAAGCTTGTCAAAGCATCTGCCAAAAAGTCAAAGATGGTGAGGTTGAACCTGAAGAAATCAATGAGTTTATGATCGATAATGAACTTTGTATGAACTTGATGCGGTTTCCAGACCCTGATCTTCTTATTCGGACAAGTGGGGAGATTAGAGTGAGCAACTTCTTTTTGTGGCAATTGGCATATACTGAACTATACTTCACTGAAACCCTTTGGCCGGATTTTGGAGAAGATGAACTTCTACGTGCTTTTCATACTTTTCAACAGAGACGGAGACGATATGGGGGATGAGATATTCGTGGGCTAATGTAAGTATGTAACACTCAAAACGAAGATAATAAATATCGAGATAATAATAGTATTCTATTGCAATGGACTATACATATTCAATTTCTTTGTATTTTTTTTTTTGTCAAATATTTCATATAAAATATAACTTCCTCATCGAACGGTTTGCTTCAAGATATTTAAGGAAATCACCTACATAAGCTTCATATCAAGGATACGAATGCTAATACAAAGCAAATTAAGTCTAGACTACCAACAGCTAAATTAGCAAAATTGAGGTAAAATAGTGCATACCAAAAACTTTTAATGTTGAACGATTATAAGTTTGTCTCTTAATGGTTCTATTAAGAGGCTTACCAAATAACCTTTTAATATCTTGCTGACTTGCTACATTGATTTTGTATTTTTGGCAATGACGGGTGATTTTGGATTTGTTCTTCACTCGAAATCTTATAATTATATCTTTCTTCTTCCTTTAAGCGAAACAATACATAGGAGATTATGCAAAATCACCACCAAACTAATTCAAGAGCACATCACACTAACAATTAATTGATGTTGATTTTCATGTTGTGTTGAATGATAAAAGCTAAATGTATTATCACTTTTGCCGCATCATCTCTTCAAGATCTTGTCATTTAAAGGAAATCGTTTGCCACTTTTGCCATAAGATTTTTTTTTCTTTTATTTAAAACTAAATTTAATTTATATATAACTAAATTTTCATTAAAACTAAAAAGACAAATACACTTGAAATTAAATGAAAGATAACGAGCTTAAAATTAAATAAAACACAAGATATTTGAAATTAAACATAAGAAACATCAAAACATGAAAATAACACAACTTTATTTGACATATTGCCGTCATTTTTCGCACCCAATCATAACTTACCAAAACTATACAAATCGGAAAGGTTCGTTACTTTCTGCACGGAAAGTTTGAAGAGCATCGACTAACACAATTTCATCATTTTCACCATTTTCTAAAGCACGTTTCACTCTAAGAAACACAACGTGAAACTGTACTACCACTGCATTTGTTTGTCTATTTGGCGAAAAGTTGATCGTTAGTTCGGTGGTGACTTTGACATATTTCGTTGTTGTGTCGATCCATATATGAGGCAAAACGATCTCTTCTACCATGGTCCAAAAACGAGGCATTTCTGAAAATTGTGAAAAATGAAAATGTTTGTTGGTATTTATTTTAGTTGAAAAGGAGTTTGAAATTTGAAATTTTTGAAAAAAAAAATTATTATAATTTGGAAAATAAGGTATTTTTTTTGAAAAGTGGTAAAAAAATTAAAAACAACATTCTCTCTCGTCTTTAATGGATTGCCGATTTCGAACTCAGCAATGCCGAGCTAAGAGAGTGGTATTCGTCGAGTCCAACTCAACAAGCTTATTCCAAACAACCTTAGGTACTACATCACAATACACAAACAATAAACCACATGATAACAGGATGAGAAAATTTGTAAAATAACCAAAAAGGAAGGGTTGTTTGAAGAAAATGACTAAGAATTAGGAGTTTTCGAAAAATGACCATGAATTCCGTAGAGAGGGCCTCTACGGAAGTCCTTTAGCTCTGAAGAACAAGAAAATTCTGTGAGGAAATGACGTGGCGGGGAAATATATATATATATATATATATATATATATATATATATATATATATATATATATATATATATATATATATATATAATTTTAATTCCGCAGATGGTGCATCATTCCACATAGATGCTCTCTACGGATCTGTTCTTCAGATTTACCCCTATGAGGAATTGTTCTTCGCTAAAACATGGCCTATGTTGATTAAATTGTCGAAAAAATAGACTTAGAAACATATTTTTATAGTTTAAATTGTTATTTTGAATCACTGATATGTGCTAAATGTATATACATCCTTAGATTTAGAAGAAAACAAATACCATAATCGTTATTAGGTCATGTTTTAGCGAAGAACAATTCCTCAGATGAGTATCTGTGAAGAACAGATCCACAGAGGGCATCTCTGTGCAACGATGCATCCTCTGCGGAATTAAAATTTTATAATTTTTTTTGTCTTTTTCTCCGCCATATCTTTTCCTCAGAGAGTTCTCTTGTTATTCAGAGCTAAAGGATCATAGTCATTTTTCGAAAACTCCTAATTCTTGATCATTTTCTTCAAAAGTCCCTTTCTTTTTTTTCATTTCACAAATTTTCTCCAACAGGATATTCATACAAACGTTAACTATTGGTCACAGTACCCAGATATATTTTTTCCAATTCATGTGAACCACATACCACCATCCTCCAAAACCACCACTAGATAAGGGGTTATAGATAAGGCCTAACCATTCTTATCCGTCAGATGGATTCACGCACTTCATCCAACGGTTACCAAACCCTCACTTAGATAACCCCTGAACAACCATCCAACTCTATACATCAACAACTAAATTCATACTTGAACCCACACTTATCCTACGACAAACCGGAGCACAGTAGCCTCCATCACCGACAGTCATGGCATCCACCACAGCTGCGGCCGCCGCCACGTCTTCTTTCATGGGAACCCGTCTCCCGGAACTGCATTCCAGTTCTGGTCGAGTCACGGCCCGGTTTTCCTTCGGAAAGAAGAAAGCAGCACCTAAGAAAGTGTCCAAATCCGTCACATCCGATCGGCCGTTATGGTATCCAGGTGCAAAAGCGCCGGAGTATCTAGATGGAAGCCTGGTTGGGGACTACGGATTTGACCCATTTGGTCTAGGTAAACCCGCTGAGTATCTTCAGTTTGATTTGGACTCATTGGATCAAAACTTGGCTAAGAACTTGGCTGGGGACGTGATCGGAACCAGGTTCGAGAATGAGGACGTGAAGTCGACTCCTTTCCAACCATACACTGAGGTGTTTGGGCTTCAGAGGTTCAGGGAGTGCGAGCTGATACACGGGAGATGGGCTATGTTGGCTACCCTTGGGGCGCTCGTTGTTGAATCGGTTACTGGTGTTACATGGCAAGACGCTGGAAAGGTACCATATATATATATAACCTAATCTGTATCATTTATCAATCATAAAAACAAAGGAGCTCATTAACTAATCTTTTTATTTGACATGTGATTTCTTTTAGGTGGAACTAATCGATGGTTCATCTTATTTTGGACAACCATTACCATTCTCTATCACTACTTTGATTTGGATCGAGGTTTTGGTTATCGGATACATTGAGTTTCAAAGGAACGCTGAACTCGAACCTGAGAAAAGACTCTACCCAGGTGGTCCATTCGATCCATTGAACTTGGCAGCTGACCCTGAAAAGAAAGCTATTCTCCAATTGGCGGAGATCAAGCATGCTCGTCTTGCTATGGTGGCGTTTCTTGGGTTTGCTGTCCAAGCTGCAGCCACCGGAAAGGGCCCGCTCAACAACTGGGTAACCCATTTGAGTGACCCGCTTCACACTACCATTCTTGATACCTTTGGGTTCTTTTCCTAGATCTATTTTGTTTTAATTACTATCTCTACATATGATACTTATGCATCCTCGTCTTTACTATGACCTTGTAAAGTTTGTAACATTTGGCTGTTTGAGTATTATCACCTATTCTTGTGCAAATGCAGTTAATTTACGTAATGTGGTCTGGCCACGATTGTGAATGATTCAAGCAACTACAGCTCGCTTTCTCTTGAAATAGTACTTCAAAGTTTTTTTTGGGTGGGGGAGTAATAGGTTTGAGCTAAAAATTCGTGATCAATTGAAAACTATACACAACTGTGAATGAGAGGCACCAAAGGCTTGGCCGTGTGTTGCATTAGAGAAGAAAACTACTAACACAATAAATTCACCTTATAGTTTCGAGAATATCAAGTTTAGTCCCTAATATTTTTCGGTCTTATTGTTGGTCCGTACCTATATAAATTGACTTTTATACCCCTTTTACTTTATTTTATATTTTCTTTTAACTAACTTAGTATATAAAAAAACAAAATAAAAACACCCCCACACCTACCCCTCACCCTAATAAATCCTAACCTCGTCTCCAAAACATAAATCAGAAGAACATGATCGCCCTTTTTTCTCCGTCGATGATGCCTTCCACCGGTAAGACCCTTTGTAGTCCCCTTGACCCCATCCCTTCTTCCCGTCACCGACCCACCGTTCTTCCTTCATTGAGTCTGAGTGATAAGGTAAGTTGAATGATGAACAGTGGAGTGCTTTTGGTTGAGTTTATGTTTTGATCGAAAATCAAATGGTGATGGCGATGTTGGTTGGGTAATAGTAGATGTGGTGGTGCTGGAGTGGAGGTATAAGGTGGTTTTGTGGTGAATATAGTGGTTGGGATGTTGTTGTGAGGTAAGCGATCAAGAGAGATATGGTTTTAAAGAATGGAAATGGCGGCAGTGAAGGGTTCGATGATGGCAGTGAACCCAGATCAGAAAAATCCAATGATGTTGTGACATCCATCAAAACTCAGGTTAGTACACAACCCGAACCTCACCACTTTCATGTATGAACATAACTTAGTTCCAGATGCTACAAGTTGAATTAGGTCGCAAGTTAATAGATCCTTCAGAACATTTAGTTGTAACTTAGCTTACACTGAACCTTCGCATGGATATGTGAATACATAAACTAGGTTATAAAGTACCAAAGCTTAATCTCAACACTTAACACAAAATCATGTTCGGTAGATCAAAACTCAAGTGTAAGGTTCCGTTTGATAGTTTATGTCCGGGAAAGTGTTGTCTGGAAAAATGTTGTATGGGAAAGTTTTCTGACTGAGAAAGAAGTCATGTTGTTTGATTGTACATCTGATTGACTCTGCTGAATGATGAAAATGACAATATTACTCTGCTGTTCTATACTGTGATGGATTGAAGTTGCTGAATAATTATAAAAACATACAAATTGTCATACAAAATCAAAATTACACAATAATCATTTAAAAATCCAAATAGAAGGTCGATTACGTTGTTTTTAGTTTATTGTTTTTTAAGTTGATGTTACATTGTTATTCTTTTTATCAAATTTTGTTTTCTTTTTATAACTCAACGTGTGATTCTTGACCCAGTTTATGTCCGATAGTGGTGGGATGAATGGAAATTTTTAAAATATATTAGGATGATGGTTGTGTTGTAAAAAAAAGAATTAATTCAATAAAAATGAATTATAAAAATTAACTAAAAGAAATTACTAATCCAATAAAATAATATTTATCAATATATAAATATTATATATTTATAAATAATATTTATTAATATATAATAATCCAATAAAAAAGAAATAAAAAAAGAATTATTTAATAGAAATTAATAATCAAATAAAATAATATCAATTAATACATAAATATTATATATTAAAAATAATATTTATTAATATATAATAATCCAATAAAAAAGTAATAATTCAATAAAAAAAGAAATTAAAAAAATTATTTAAAAGAAATTAATAAACAAAGAAAGAAAGATGCGAGGTTTGGGTATAATTGTCTTTCCAGCCTATTCAATCAGAAATATATGGTTTTAGAGCTTCTCTGGGAAAAACATATCTTACCGGGAAAAACCTATTTTTTTGTGCATATCAAACAGTCTTTCCGGTTCATTCAGCCAGAAAAATCTGTTTGGACCTGGAAAGATGTCTATCAAATGGGGCCTAAGTTAAATACCCTAATTTCTCAATTGGAACATTTCAAAATGCTTAACTATTTTAAGTGTTTTAGCGAATGAAAACTAACAGAATCATAATACGATTTAGTTACAAATTAGATATAATATGCATATAATTCGTAATTTGAATTATGATACAAAAATATAATTCAAGGATCATCTAATCCTACATTCTTATATTATGAATCCTTATTTCAATTATATGAAATATAAAATTGATTTTGTAAAATTCAAATCATAAACTAACTAATTTATAACAATAATGAATTAACTACAAGATTTATGAAATTGGTTCCTAAGGCAAAAACACTTAAATAAAAACCAAAAAATAAATTCTTGGAAGTTTATAAAATGTGCCTTAAAACTTTATAAAAACAAAAATCAAGTTTTATAAAATTTGAATGTAAGGCTTTTATGAGGGTTCCCCTTACCAACAAGATCCTTTCTCCTCCTAAAAATTTGGCTCTAGGCCATACTACTCATTTGAATATTTCCTACATTCAAACTTCTCTCTCATTCTCCATGAAACCTTTTTCTCTCTCCAAAACTCTCTTAAGTGCATCCAAAAATCAACCATTGCAACCCCTTAATCACAAAATTCTTGAGCTTTGAGTGTTCTTGCTTCTCTAAAAATCGAAACCAAGGTATGAAGCACAATACTCTCATATGGTTTTGCTAGTTTACTCAAAATCTTTCATTGTTTCTCTTTATTTTCATATTCTCTACCCTTTTGTGGTACAAACTCTTCCTTTATCTTGGTGTTTGTATATTTTCACTAAAAACACATTGCATAGGTTAACTGTAACATCCAGTAATATGGTCCCAAAATTTTTTGTTTTAATATTAGATAAAATAGTAATTTTCCATATCATCCAACATTTGAAATAAACCAGTGTAACAATTGTCATAAATCAGAGTATAACATCATAACAAAATCCCAATGGTGTGTGTGCGATGCAGTCATCCCAAGCTATTCCCTCTGGAACCAGAAGTACCTGAAACATAAACTGAAAATTGTAAGCACAAAGCTTAGTGAGTTCCCCCAAAATTCCACATACCAATCATACAATAAGCAAATAGTGAGTCCCGCCCGTCATCAGGCCCCGCCCAGCTTCGGACCCCATCCAACATCGGGCCTCGCCCGACATCGGGCTGAGCTCGGTAAAACGGGCCCCGCCCAACATTCAATAACACATATCAAATAAACACGTACACATGCAATAATCACATAGATACGTAGCATACATATATCCATCGGGCCCCCCCGACATCGGGCCTTGACTTGGAAAAACATATAAACACAACACATGCAAGAGTCACGAAGACAACTAGCATACTAACAACATAATGTAAACATGGGCCGGCCTTGGTGCCTTCGACCCACTAAACCCGGTAAGGAAACTCACCTCGAATGCCGAAAGATAACTGGATAAATCCCCGGCCCCGGAAACAACTATACTCAATCATCCCTAAACAGAAACATTCCCTTAGATACCAATCAATATTTCAAAATCCCTTAAGGTCAAACTTGGTCAAAGTCAAAGTCAACGCTCCGAGTTGACTAAACTCGTCGAGTTATCCTACAACTCGCCGAGTTTCCATGAATCACATAATCGCGATATTTCGAATCAACTCGTCGAGTTTCCCTTTCAACTCGTCGAGTTCCTCATTCTTCAACATAATCAGGATCCCTTATGGACTCGTCGATTTCATCAGTCTGCCGCGCGTACTTGATGGATTTGGGCTTTGCGTCGTTTGGGCCTCGGATAGGCTACTTTCATGGACTTTGTGTCTTGGGACTTAGGGTGGGCCATATGGAATCGAACCTTTGGGCTAGGGAAGCATTATTGGGCCTTAGGCTAAGGCCCATGTGAAGGGATTTGGCCCAACTTGAAATTGGGCCATATGTTGGGCCTTGTTGGATTGTCTAACTTTTGGGCCATTGGATTGTGATTTAGGGCTTCTATCTTGGACCAAGTTATGATAGGGGTAAAATAGTTTTTTTACCCCAAGTAGGGATTTTTGGTTATGATGTAGATCCCAAATGTGAAGCAACTTTTATTTGGTAAGTGATAGCTCGGGGAGCTGTAGGACCAGCAGTCTGGGATCATTCGTTTCGTTCAGCTTTTCGAGGTGAGTTTTCCTCACCGGGTTTAGCGGGTCTAAGGCACCAAGGCCGACCCTTGTTGATTATGCTGATATACTTGTTGTTTGTGTGATACTTGTATGTGTTTGTATATGTTTTCTTATTTCGGCGGGACTCGTATTGCGAGTGTGGGCGGGGCCCGTATCTCATTGGGCGGGGCCCGTATTGCGAGTGTGAGCGGGGCCCGTTATTCGAGTGTGGGTGGGGCTCGTATCTATTTGGGTGGGGCCCATTATGTGATATCTTGGAACTTCTGGTTCCAAGGGGAAGGACTCGAGTTGACTGCACCGCATACACCATGGGGATTCCGTATTTGATATTTACTCTGATTTTGATAACACATGATAGATTGTTTTTGTTGAGATGTATGGATGATATTTGAAAATATTATTTTATCTATTATGAAAACGAAATTTTTGGGGCCATATTTTTGGATGTTACAGTACATGTAGGTACGTTGGGCGTACTTGAGTTTGTCCTAAAACCCTAAATTCGGGGTATGACCCCTATTTAAGGTCATTAACTCCCCTTGGACCTCCTTAAAACTAGCATCCACTTCTCTCACCCCCTGATAGATGTCATTTTATGCATCTTTTAGGGTAGTTTTTATTATCATTTAGCATCATATTTTGTACATTAGCATGTCATATGTTTAAATAATGTTCAGCTCATGTCTTTTATAAGAATTCTCGTACTGCTAGCATTTTTGTGTCATTTTCAGATAGTTCAAGTGGATCAGTACTATAGGAGCAGTTGGATGCATGTTTGAAGTTTAAATGGAGCTGGAATTGAAGGAGGATGCTAAGGAATAACAAGAAGTGCTTAAACTGAAGAATCACATCCGAAACGAGCCATAAACTCATATATGCGGTCGCATTTTCAGTTTCTGCGATCACATAAATGCAACAAAGTTTTGTAAAGCCAAAATAACTCATCTGGAAGCCATATGAGAAGAAAAAGCAAAATTTGTGATCACATATGTCCATTCTATGATCGTATTTCGGTCACGCAACTCTAGAAACTTTAGATTTGGC